TTATGAGAACATTAACCAAGCATCGTATGTATTTATAAAGCATATTAAAAAAAAAAAAGGAAAATACGCACTCAAACATGAACTTGCCTTCCAGGAAGTCTGACATTTAAGGATGATTATGAGGGGAAGGGAGTCATAAATTTGATAAAACAGATGTATAGAGCATTATGCATTGTTGAAAGCACAGCTGTCAAGGTTTTCACTTCTGATTATGAGAGTTCTGTGTCTTACATTGCTAGTTTACAGCTGACAACTATAGATAATGGTTAGCAATGCAAATACAATTCTTGTCTAGATTCTTGTAACTTCTGTCTAGTGGAGGTTCAGTGGACTCCCTGGCCTACTGTAGAAGACCATTTTGCCTCCATGTGCTCATTTATTTTAATATTCCTGATCAATAAATATGTCTTGTTCTTTTATCATTTGAACTGGTTATAACATCATCCCGGTTCCCTCATTAGTAAGGGAAACAAAAGCTGTGTGTTCATAATCTTATATTTGTGTGACAGTCATGATTTTAATTCCGCCCCCTTTTTTTGTGGAACTTTGTGTATGAGTGTGTGGAATATTCTTTTAGACATAGGAAGAGATTATTTGCTCTAGCCAATCACTTTAACCAGTATAATATCTAGTATTCATTGTGGAAGGAAAAAAAAAGTACTGCTTTCAAATGGATAAGATGAAAACCAGTAACAAATGAAAAACCTTAAATGTGTTCATTTAGACCTGATTTAATTCTTTTGCCCCACCTTTGGGAAGATTTTACTATGATACAAATCAGATCCAAGTCTTCAAGTACTTTTAAACTACACCTAGTGAAGTAGGATTTACAAATACTAGCACTTAATTTCTGAGGGGTCACTGAGTCTCCTAAGGCCTTCCTGTAGAGGTCTGGATGAATTTTATTTGTAAACTTATTTTCCATTTCAAATAGCAAAAATGACTTTTGAGAAGCTGAATTTTTCCTGGTTCTTTAAGAGTCATGATTAAAAAAAAATCCTCCCATTCCTCTCCTAATGGCTTCTACAAGACTCTTGAGGATAACCCCTTGTTTACCTACGACTAGGAAAGACAAAGGCTCTCCAAATTCCTATTCTTTGCCTCTTTTATACATTTGTGAATCTTTCTTAAAGATTTACTTATTTGAGGGGGGGGGGGGGAGGGAGATAGAGGGCTAGCGTGCACAGGTGAACATACACAGGCCAGTGGGGGTAGGAACAGAGGGAGTGGGGAAACCGACTCCCCACTGAGCGGGGATGCCAACGTGGAGCTCCAGGCTCAATCTCACAACCCAGAGATCATGACCTGAGCAGAAACCAAGAGTCTGTCCCTCAACCGACTGAGCCATCAAGGCACCCCTATAAATTTGTGAATCTTAACTGCATGGTCAAAAGTGACCAACTGGAACAAAAATGTCCGTTAGCTGGATTTTACGTTTCTCTCCTTCCCCCCAGGTTCCAGAACTTTGGCCCACCCTCAGCCAGAGCCCACAACCCCTCCAGGGAGCAGGCTGGCCTCAGGGTAAAACACTCTGGAATCTACAATCAAATCAAGGAGTCTGTTCTAGCGTCCTTTACTCCTCCCTTGAGATTCTGGTAGATCTTTTGGTCAGAGAATTCCCTCCATTGCAATAGTTCCTTTTCCCTTATTGCCATAACCCTTTCAAATAAAGTCTCTCTTTACTAACTCTGGATTTTTTTTATTTGAAAAATCCCTAAAAATTTTTTGCATCTTGGGCTTTCTTTTGCTTTAGGGTTGCCAACATTTTATTCAGTGCCTGCATATAGTACATTTTGTGATTCTAAAATTAACATATAATATTCTTATAGCACTACTAGAAGAGTCAAAAGACAATGAAATAAGTGTAGATAGATTAGACCCCTTCTTTTACTTCTACCACCTTAGGCAGTAAACAAAATTATTTGCTCCTTGTATGATTTGAACACTGTAAGCTCAAGAAACAAGTTTTTTTAATTGAGGTATAATTTACATATAACATTAGTTTCAAGTGTACAAGGTAAGATTTGACATTCGTATATATTGTGAAAGATTACAATGAGTCTAGTTAACATCCATCACCACATGGTTACAATTTTTTCTTGTGATGAGAACTTTTAAGATTTACTTCCTTAGCAACTTTCAAATATGCAACAGTGTTAACTATTGTCACCATGCTGTACATTACATCCCTATTACTTATTTTATAAGTGGAAGTTTGTACCTTTTGACTCCTTTCAGCCATTTTGTCCAACCCCCACCCTGGCAACCACCAATTTGTTCTCTGTATCTATGAATTTTTGTTTTTAATTATTTAAAATTTATACATGTAGGGGCGCCTGGGTAGCTCAGTGGGTTAAGCGTCTGCCTTGGGCTCAGGTCATGATCTCAGGGTCCTGGGATTGAGTCCACGGTCAGGTTCCCTGCTCAGAGAGGAGTCTGCTTCTCCCTCTGCCCCTCCCCTCGCTTGTGCACACCTTCTCTCACTCTCTCGTATAATAAAAATCTTAAAAAAAATTTATACATTTAGATTCTATGGAATTAGCTTTCAAGCATTATCACTTGCTATCCATAATCAAACTCTGAGGGAGGCAGGCTAGATGTAGCTGAGGAAGGTCATACAAGGAAATGACACTAGCAAGCTTTCCTAATAACACAAGGTCTAGGACATTACCGCAGGGCTCCTACAGGAATTAAAGCCGGACAACACAGCCATCACTGCCACTAACAAAACAGTAGATGAAGGTAGGGATTACTCAAGGAGAATTTTTTTCTTCTTCCTAAAATTTAGAGGGAAATGTCCCAAAATATTTTCCAATATGTTGGTTTCCTTTAATACAGCTTTTCCAGTGTGCTAATTAGTGGGGAAAAAGTAGCATTAGGAGGAAATTTAGCCAAACAAGAAATTTACTGAATTTTTAGGTTAAGAGTCTTTCCCTTTCATGACGAATGCCTTTTTTCTTTTGGGGGGGGGGGGTCTTAGAAATTTACAAGGCATTTTCCCAGATTATCTTTTAATGAAAAAAATCATCTGCACTTTATAAATCAGCAGTTTTGGTCATAGGTATACAAGTCATGCCTCTTGAAACTGTCAACTTTTTGTACCCATTATCTTCAAATACTAACTACTCACACTACAAGTGAATGGACACTAACAGAAGGATTAAAGAGCCAAATGAGATAGTCTTTAATCCTTAAGAGTCAGGTCCAACAAGAAAAGTAAAGAACTTAAAACCAAAACACAGTCAATAGTACCATTTAAAATATTTAGTTAAAGTGCCTGTAGTTAGTAAGTGCCAGGTACAGTACTAAGAACAAACATCATCTCATTAATCTTAACAGTGAAGTACTATCATCCCCATTTACAGATGATGAAACTGAAACTTAGAGCTCTACTTAACAAACCTAGCACAGAGCCTGTTATAACATTCAAGTTCTTGCTTAATGGAAAAAAAAAAACCCACAAAAACTAATTTTACTTCATATGAAGAATCCCTCTTAATTAGGCCCTAATGATTTACTCTAGGTTTATCTAATGTACTCCCCTCAGATTCTTTAATGCTTTGTCTAGCATACTTTTAGATCATTTGGGGAACAAGTTAGCAAACCCTTCAGCCTTCCAAATTTGTAATTTGTCTCCAGTCCTCTAGTCCTTAAAGGCCAAAGAGAACTGAAGTGGGATTTCAACAAGTGGAGAGATTGTTTCCAGACCAAGAAGAATGAGCAAAGTTCTCCTTATTCTACCTGATTCTGGATGTGGCCCAAACTGTCAAACAATACCTAACACTAAGGTTGTTAAGTGATTGTGAAACTGAACTCTATCATTCTGTTGAAAATACTTTCATCTCTTCCTAAAAAATAAGAGTCTGGACTCTCTAACATGGCATTACTTGTTCAAATGCCACATACCCCAGGCCAAACTACACTCCCTGCAAAGGTCTTTTACACTTTAAGTCTTTATATTGACCTCCTGCTTGGAAAGCCCATGGCCCTTTCTGTGCCAGGCAATGCTTATTTTTCAGTGTCTTCACCTATCTGGTGTGCCTTACCCAGATACTATTATTATAGGTCCTTCTTCCTCTGTGTCTGCAGAACAATTTAACAGTGCATTAAAACTTTTTCTTTATTCTCAGCTGTGGGAAAGCAGGAGCTATATGGTTTTATTTTCCGCATCACCTAAGGCAAAAGAGGAACTTAGGGACTTCCCTTTTCATAGCACCATCACAGGTTTTTGTTGTTAGTTTTTCAATAATATATTAAGCTGTGAGGACAAGAAACCACCTAGTTCCTGTTTTACAGCTGTGGCTTCTCTAGCTTCCATACTAGCACTTAGTACTAACAACGTGTTTTGAATACACGTTCGGAAACTGCCACAATCTCACACCAAGGAGGATCAATCTCTCCAAATCAGGGTGACTAGGTCCACAGGAGGCTGCAATTATTCCAACCCCAACAGCATGGTGGTCACAACCGTAACGCCCCTAGCTGACAGCCACATCGTAATGTTTCAAGCTACCAGCTATGTCCAAGGATCATTTACTATGTTCATCCTACTGGGATGGAAAAAATGAATACTGATCGGCCTCTAGCCTCAACCAAACAGCTAGAGCTGGGAGGATGCTCATTAAAAAATTAAAAAAAAAAAAAAAAGAAACTGGAGCGATATGGGCTACGGACTAGGTCCAAGGCCATAATCACCCTCTTGTAAGCGGTACAAGCCTAAATCATAGCTTTGAGGGCTGCAGGTCTCCCGAACAGATGCGACAGAAACTGTGCTGGGTCCTGACAGGGGGCCCGCAGATGAACTGGAGGAGGCCGAGGACTGCGGGGTGGCCGGCTGTTGGAGGCCCCAGCCAGCAGCTGAAAGTCCCTCTCACGTGTCTGGGCCTCCTCTCCCACCTCTCCTTAGAGACCTCCGTGAACCGGTCCTGGCTCCCCCTCTCACCCAAGGACCTGTCTCCACACTCGCGCCCTTCCCAGAGCCTCCCCCCGGTCCCTCCCACCTTAGCTCGCGCTCTCCTCTGCGGAGTTTGGGCTGCACCCGCATCCACGTACGGCCGACTTGGCTGAGAGCGTTTCCTCTCCTCCCCGCGCTACCACTGAGAGGACGGCGGATGAGGGCTAGAGAGGCTCAGCGTTACCATAAAGAGACGTCCAGGAGAAGCCTAGAGCGATCTAAACCTGGTCGGCCTCCCGAGCCGAAAGGGCGGGGCGGCGTTAATTGGCGGAAGATGCAACGTGAGGCAATGGTTGTTTCAGAAGCTGCTTCAATTTTGCTGTCTGTTCTGAGGTTAGGGAATTGGGCGCTCCCTGGGGCCATTTCTTACAAGATACAGGTTCAGCTGACTTAGATTGTGTTCGCAAATCTCTGCGCCTGTGCGGGTGGCCAAATTTTTGCACCCCACTCCTCTAATCTCTGGAGAAGTGAATGAGTTACAAGAAGCTCTAGAACAGACCGTGTCTTTATGGTCTCACGTTTTATGTGATTTCTTTTGTTCAAGCAAAATATATTCCAAAATGCATCTCTTTTATTTTAAACTATAAAAATAGCTGTGTTTATTACTTCAAGTAAAATGTAGGCTCCAGGAAGATGCTTGTAAATTTTGAGGGAAGAAACAGTGTATTTCTTGTATCCTTATTTTCTGCCACAGTTTAGGTGCTTAGTTTTTAAAGTGGATTTTATTCGTCTAGAGTCTTTGAGAGCTTGTGATCTCTTAGACCGAAGGGTCTCAGCCTTCAACAATTTTCAGGTGTGTGGGGGGGACACCTAAACTATTGTTTTTTTGACCAGCCAAGTGAAAAATGTGAGATGGGGAAATAAGGCATACCAACACCCCAGCTTGCTAGTAATATGAAACACACCACTGTAGGTTGTTTTAATATAGTGAGCCTATCTGTGGTCCTTCCGGCCACTTCCATTCTGCTCTGCAACCAGGCAGGGTTTTGCTGCTCACTAAAATCAAGTCAGTCTTAGAACTAGGGAATGGGAGAAAGGCAAAAACAAGGGACAATCCCCTCAGCTGTGTCTGCAGGAGGTCACATTCAGTCGTTCTTTTGTTACTTTGTGGTTGGTACTTTGCTAAGAAACAATAAAACAAAAAATAAAATTTATCCCTGCTTTGAAAGAATTCACAGACTAGTGAGAGATGGAGGAGTAAACAGTGTGGTGTGATAAATGCCATAATAGAAACACAAGGATATGAGCAGGATAAAATGAGAGGCATGAAAGCCTGGGCATTCAGGGGGGAGATTAATGCTTGAATTGAGCTGTCATATGAAAAAATAACTGGATACACTGGTGGCCTCCAAGTATACTACTAGTTAAGCTATCCTAGAGGTAATGAAACAGAAGGCTCACAGACCAAATTAAGATGCTTGAATAACCTGGTTTATTGAATCAATTTAAATACCCAGTGAGAAGCAAGGGAAATAATTGGAGTAAGTTGATACTTAGGATAGGGTGCAAGCAAGTGGAAGGACAACGTCACCTAAATCATGAGTTATGTAATATTCATATGTTCTGTCTGCCACATCAGCCTTTTCCACTGATGATATGCTTATAAGGACTAGAGTTGTGGTTATAGCAAGGAGGCCCACAGGTGGAAAGTGCTTTGGGCCAGTGGCACACCCTGTTCTGTTGGCTATGCAGGGAAACTTGCCTGGCCACAACCAGAGCCTAGTAGTTAGTTTGATGAACAGACCACTGATTTTATTTGCATTTCTTGGATAGAGCATATATATATGAGACTATATGAGGTGTCATGGGTAGCTAATTTAGGGCTGACCAAACTTTCAGCCCAGAGATGGCACAGTTATTCATACCTTAGTTTTTCTATCCCTTTTTGACTATAAATGACCCTCTTCCATATTTTTTATTTAACTTTGGCATGCCTTATAGTTTACTAACTTACTATGTATATTTAACACAATTCTGCCTATGTTTCACAAAGTACATAGTTACTCATACTCTATATATAAAACATCCTAGGAGTTTTGCATTTATCTCATAAGCTACTAGTGTACTTAACACTTCTTCTGACTAACACTTCTGACTTTGTTCCATCCTTAAGGAAACTGCAAGGAATTCAGTATAGTTGGAGTGGGAAGCTGGAGAGGTAAGTAGACAGATAGTACCCTTTCTGTGGCATATTAGAAATACTAGATTTTATACTGAGGAAAACTGTAAAACTATAAGGAGAGTGGAAAATAGGAAAGAGGTCCACTTCTGGGCAGGAGGGCCAGGTGGAATCTCTTGCCCTAATGCAGGTGATTAATAATGAGGACCTCAATCAACTAAGGCAGTGGCTCTATGGGGTTAGAGGTGATTTCCCCACCCCCCCCAAGACATTTGGTAATGTTTGGAGAGAATTTTGGTTGTTCAAAGTAGGGGGTGCTACTGATAACTATTGGGGTAAGGATAGGGAAACTTCTAAACATCCTACAAAGCACAAGACCATCCCTCACAACAAAGAACTGTTGTGATATTAGTAGTGCCAAGATTGAGAAATCCTGAAGTAAGGGATTTAAGAAAGCATAAAGAGGATAGAGGTTAAGCAATTAGATTCCGTTGGATTTTATAACTGATTAGATATAGATGTGAGGTAGAAGGAGAGAACGATTTTAGGGTTCTAGCTCGGATAACTAGGAGGACAAAGGGTTAGGGAAAATAGAGACAAAGAATTAAATGTTAGATAAGTTTGAGACATCCCCAAGATGCGCAGTAAGCAGTTGGGAAAAAACAGGAGATGAGAAGAAAATAGAGAATCTTAATAAGAAATGTTTGTACCAGATTAGATTAGAATCTCTACAGATAAACTCTAAGAATCTGCATTTTTGGCAAGCAATTAGGTGATCTTGCAGCATGCCAAAATTTGAGAACAATAGTTTTCGGTCTCAGAAGAGAGGTCTGAGGAGCAGTGAGGTAGCCGGAACACTAGGGAAGAGCAGAGTCCCAAAAACCGTGGAAGGAGAGAGTTGAAAGCAGGGGTTTTATTAGTACAAGAGGTTGCTATAAAGCAGTACTGGTCATTAGAAGTATAATGCGAGTCACGTTTTCTAGTTGCAGTATCACAAAGGTAAAAAGAAGCAGGTGAAATTAATTTTAGAACTCTATTTTGTTTAACCCATTATATCTAAAACATTTAAACATATAATTCATATAAAATTAATAAGGTATGTTATATTCTTTTTTCATACAAAGTCCGAGAAAGCTGGTGGCCTTTCATACCTCTAGCACCTCTTAATTTGAACTAGCTACAACTCAGGTACTCAGTAGCTACATGTGGCTAGTGGCTACCACATTGGATAGCACAGCTGTAGAAGGTCAGGTAAGAAAAGAACTTAAGTGTAATCTTTAGCTATAGTAATAACGGTGCTCATAGATAGTGTGATAAGAACCCTTTCAATGAAGAAGCCGGAATATGCCCAGGTAAAGAATAGGAAGTTAGAGATGGTAACAACTACCATAAAGAACATTTTTGAGAATATTTGCTATTAATAATACAGTATGAGGGGCTTTTTTTTTGTCTTTTGAGTATGAATTTAAGATCAGATAGCATAATAAAGTTTTTTATGTAAGGTTTAACAGTAATATTTGAACTTCTGCTTGTGCAGAATTGCCTTCCCCCTGGATACAACTAGAAAATTGGGCATAATATATGAAGTGACTGTTTTCAGACATTGGGCAACAGACAATACGGAATTGTGATCCTTGAGAGAAGAGAAATAAGGTAAGTCCTACAATGACTCCAGCCTACTGCCTGGAGGGCAGAACAGGGAGGGAGTTTAACAGAGACCAGTGGTTTCACTGAATGGAGGGGACAGATGGGAATTGAGGGAAGCCATTGAGAAGATATCAGAGAGGAGGAAGTGGCACCGAGAGAGGTCTGTCTGCCCAGGTGTAGCTTTCCCCTTGTCCTTTGGCTGAGTATTGATCTGTGCAATGAAGACAAACTCCATGAGACCTGGCACCAAAAAGCAGTAGGCCAAACTCTTTCTGATGCTTGCACAGGGCTGGGAATAGTTTGTGTTCCCATCTGCCAGAGTAGAGAGACTGTAATACACACATTTTTACCAATCAAAACAAGAATAGTTGGAGGCTGGTCAACTTGCTCGCTCTGTCTTTCAGGTATCTCTGCTTAGGCTTGTTTGGTCTTCCACATAGAGTAGTAACCATAGGGTACCTGGATTTATTACATGGCTCAGAGCTCCCAGTGCTTGTGTTCCAGCAAGGTGAAAATTGCTTAGCCTTTTATGACTTATCCCCTGGAGTCATGAATTTCACTTGCACCTCATTCTGTTGGTTATATGCAAGTCATTGAGCTTGGTCCAGATTTAAGAGGTGGGAACATAGCTCCTACCTCTTGATGGGAGGAATATAAAAAAATTAGCAGATATGTTTAAAAACTGCATAAAATATCATAGTCTAGTACCAAATCTAATAACGACCATCATTTCAAAGTAGTTATGAATATAAATAATATTTCAAGATATGTTACAACTTTGATACAAAAAAAATCTGTGATTTCTGTTGGTGACTAAGTTTGAGGTATTGTAGACACAGTACTGCAACAGTACTAATAGTTACAGCAGTTCTGTGACACCAGCTGGGAGATAATGTCAGGTCCCACTGGTTAAGGGTTCAGTCCTACAAGACTGCCCCTTCCCCACTTCAGATGTTAATCAAAAGTGTTTCTGATCCACTGGCTATAAATCAGGTTCGATTAATTTGCTAGAGTAGCTCACAGAACTCAGGAAAACATTTTACTTAATAGATTGCCAGTTTATTAGAAAACGGTATAACAGGAAGCACTAGGTAAGAGATGCATAGGACAAGGTATGTAGGAAGAGGCACAGAGACCTTCCATGCCCTCTCTGGGGTACACCACTTTCCTAGAACCTTACATCTGTTCACCAACCTGGGAAATTTTCTGAACCTTGTGCTTTTGGGTTTTTAGGGAGGCTTCATTAAGTAGATATCATTGATTAAATCATTGGCCACCGGTGATTAGCTTAATCTCCAGCCCCATTTTCCTCCAAACTTTGTGGCTTTTTAATAGTCCCTTCATTAACATAAACTATGGTGTGGTTTAAGGGGCTTGTTATGAATCACAAAAGACACTTTTATCACACTGACCACTTAGGA